GGACCAAGGCCCCTGAGCCAGGCGACCTGCCCCAGGTAGGAGGTGGCAAGTGGCTCTGAAGCCGTCATTTTGAAACTTGGCTCCAGCACTGAACTCACATCCACTGTCATACTGGAAACAGTGGGACGTGGTGATCGTGCAAGGAAACCCCGCGTGTGCAAGGCAGGCAGAATGGGAAAGTTCTCGGCAGTCTTCCCGGCACACACGCACCGCTTCCAGAAGCAAATCCTGGGACGAGAAATGGGACACTCACTGGGGCTGAGCCCCGTTTGCAGAGGCGGAGGGACGCCTGCCCCGGGAACAGCAGCCCCGTCAGCACGGGGACTTGGGAACCTGGGGAGGGGGCGGGGGGCGGATCCTGGCACACCTGCTTCATCGTGGGGCTCCTCGTCACCCTGCTTCTCCTCCGAGGCCCCAACCCACATGCCCCGGACGTTGGGGCCCCACCCCTCCCTCTGCACCTCAGCATCCTGACGCCAGGGAGGGAGGTGAGTCAGCCCTGTGTGGAGGCAGCTTCCCAGAGGCCACCCCCACTTCGGGATGGCCACAAACCAGTTACCTTCACAAGAAGCGCCTGTCCCCACCCCCCGGCCTTGGCCCAAGCTCGCCTCCCCATGGCCTCCATTCGTCCTCAAATGCCACGGCCGCTCCACCACTACCCACACAGGGGACGGTGACAGCAAAATTGATGGTTGCGTCGACCCTCTGGGGTTAAGTGTCTCACTTGTGCCAAGTTTGGCACAGCACGTGCCCAGGCCAGTGGCAGGGTCCAGGCAGCAGGCAGGCCCCACCTGGTGAATAGCCACCTGGCGCCCTTCCTCTGTGGGGCAGGGCTGCAGTTCGAGCCCATCAAAGACAGGCTGGAAGAGCAAAGGTCACTGCAGAGGAAGCTGAGGGCCCAGGAAAATGCTGGGAAACCAAGAAACATGCACCTGGGCTTCGGTGGGGCCCTACAGGGACACCTGCTCCTGGGGGAAGTGGGGTGGGCTCACCCTGAGCTTGACCCTCCCATTCTCCGGGCCCTGCTTGTGGCTCCTAGCAGGAACCTGGTCTCCCGTCCTGAGCGTCCCTGTGACGCGGAGCCTGAGCCCCTAGCTGCAGCCAGGCGGCCCCGGGACCCGCACAGGATCGGAATGGATGCCCCTCACACTTTCCACTGATGTCACGGCTTCTCCCCGTCCGAGGTCGACCCCAGAGTCCAGGGGTAACTCATGGGCTCTGACCATGCAGACTGATGATAAATATCCCGAGACTGAGCCGCAAGAGCCAGGGCAGTGCCATCCCCGAGGTCTCCGTCCAGAAGAGGGACAGACACATAGGGGCTGCAGACGGAGGAGGACACGGCCGGTGGAGCCCTCGACGCTCAGGACAGCCCACTTCCCAGATGCTCAGAAAGGCTGGAAGTGTCCTCCTGGGGTCATGAGGACGTGCTGAGACTGGGCTTACAGCCGCCACCAGACCCCACTCCTCCCCCATAAGGACAGAAGGGGGCTGCCGGGTCTGGCCCAGGAGCCTGGCCGCGGCTAGAGTGCGGCCGGAGCCGCGTCTCCCTCCCTCTGTTGCAACCGTGCTCGCAGTGGCTTCCATCCTGCTCCTCCTCCTCACGACCGGGCGCCCTCCCAGGAGCACAGAGCAGGGAGCAGAAGAGGCCATGGGAGGGAATGGGGTGGGAGGGCCTGAACCGGTGCCTGCATGGAGAGCAGCCCGAGGGGGACGTGGGCACCAGGCGCGGGGGGGAGGATGGGGCCAGCCCCCTTCAAAGGGCTCCTGCCCCCGCTCCTGAGGGACCCCAGAGTTCCTGTCTGCAGAGGCCAGTCCCAAACGCGCCCGAGCCCAGCAGCCTCCCGAGAGGACAGCCTGTCCATCCCCGGCCGAGGGCAGGTGTCCAGGCAACCACCTCTCAGAGCCATGAATTCCCGGGCACGGAACATAGATATAAAAAACTGAGTAACGTGTTCATTACAGAGGTTTTTAAACACAGAAAAATACATCAGAAAGATGAAAACCTGCCCCTCAGAAGTAACTGCTCCCCCCACATTTGATGACGACAGATTCCGAGCAGCGCAGTTAGAGGAATCGCGTCTCCTCTGTGTGCCTGTCTCTCCAGCCCTCGATCCAGCCGCTAACTTACCTTATTTTTTGATGAGCTTCAAATTCTGTCCCCCCAACACTTCAGCATGAATATTACTAATCGGAGTGAAGCAACTGTTTAAGAAAGTTTGCTGTGGAGCTGTGCAAAAGCGTGAGCATGGAGAGGCTGCTGTAACTGCACCAGAGTGCCGACTGTCAGCATCTTCCCAGTCATGTTTCATCTTTTTTTTAAATGAAAAATCACCAAATTTCTAAAAGTAAGTTTTGCTTTAAACTGTAAAGGCAACACATACTTGCAACCAGCATCATAATGATTGACTCAGGCATTCCATCGGGGGTGCACAAGAGAAGCTTGGGGGGGCCTCCACGTGGGAGTGCCCAGCGGCCACCAAGGAAGCGAGCGCTGGGCCTGGGCCTGCGGCCGGCGGCACAGCATGGGGATGGGCCGGCGAGTCTGCGTGACGCTCGCGAGACACAGAAGGAGGACACGGCCCATCCCAGAGACGCACGGTCACCAGAAAACACCGGACGAACACAAAGTGAGGGACGTTATACCAAGCAACTGTTTATAGCATGAAAATCAAGGTTGTGGGAAACAAAGAAAGGCTGAGCAAAGTTTCCAGGATGAAAGGAAGTGAAACGGATGTGACTCAAGGCACTTGTGGTCCCGGTTTGGGTGGGGGCTCAGGTGGGAGGGGCCAGCTATAAAGGCCATTATTGGGGTGTGGGGCAAAATCTGAATGTGGACTGTACACTAGGTATATTCATGCTAACTTTATGCTAAATTTCTGAACTCGATCACTGGACAGTGGTGAACAGAATGCCCTTGAGCTCAGGGTCCTGGGGGTCACCCTGAAGTAAGGAGGGTGAGGGCGTGAGTGTGCAGTCTACTTGCAAGTGGCTCAGAAAAGGACCTGGCAAACATGCTGTGCGTGTCATAGTCACATGTGACACACACAGCCCAGAGCGCACAACACACAACACTGTTGCTCTGTACATGACCGTGGGAGACTGAGAGACAGGACCACCTGATAACACACTGACCGCACGACTCAGGCTGGTGGTCTCTCCTTATCCCTGCAAACTCTCTTCAGGTTTGGAATTATCTCAGAATAGAAAAAACTTAAATAATAAACGTACAGGACAGAGATTTCAACTGTTCACAGGGCAGGGAGGTCCTGGCCCGCAAGTCCCGAACCCGCCGGTTCTGGGTCCTTCCCTCTGTGCACCGTCCGTCAGTCTTCTCTGTCCCTCTTCTCCATCCGTCGGAGGCTTTTTTCATCGAGTTGCGGTGCTGTGAGGACTCACGGGTGAAGAGCGGGGACAGCACGGGGAAGGGTTCCGGCCACAAGGCCAGGCCTGGGCCACCTCCACCCAGGAGCCCGCACTCACAGGGGGCCCGGCACCAGGCCCCTGAACACACGGAGCCCCTGGCCGATGTCTCTGTGATGTGTCCGTGGGGGAAACGGGCCCTGTCCTGCTGGTTGGCAACAGACTCCTTTCCAAACCAGAAAGCTCTGCAGAGAGGCTGACGGACGGGGGCCAGGAGGCCAGGAGGCCAGGAGGCCAGCGTTCAGGGAGCAACGTCACGAAGGAACATCTGCCACTGGGAATGTTTTCAGCCATAAAGATAGCCCGGCTGGCCCCAACCAAAACCCAAATTAGTCCCGAGGAGGGTTTCACAACTTCCTCTGTGAGAGGCCTCCCTTGAGGGTAACCCAGCCCTGCTGCCCTCCCAGCTTCCGTCCCTCCCTGGGGTGGAAACACGGGGACTTCACCCCTAGGGGCTGGCAGGTGGGACGCCCCTGGGAGCCAGGCGAGGCCTCAAGAGGGTGGGCCAGGCCTCTGGGCTGGGCCCCAAGCCCCACCCTCCTCCGTTCCCTTCCCTTGACTCAAGAGGGAGCGGCCCTGGCACCTCTCCTCACCCCGTCCTCTCCACCTGCCCCCATTCCTGATCCCTCTGTCTGGGTGGAGGACGCCCAGGTTGCCGTGGTTTGTGGAGGCCGCACCTGCCCCGACTGCGGGCCTCCGGAGAGTGAGTGGCTGGTGTTTGCAGCTGCATCTGGGCCCAGCCTCCTGCCCCTGCATCCCCGGATCCCCCGGTGACCCTTCTGCTGGCACCTGCACCGTCCAGAGAAAAGCATCTCTTGCTCTAACATGCTGTGCAGAGCAGGGGCCCCACGCCGAATCCCCAGCCCCCGGAGACAGGGCCAGCCGAATGCCTCCAGCTCGGGACCGCCCGGGAAGACCACATGCCTCCCGCCTCCTGGGTCATGTTGCCCAGAGCTCTGGCTCAGCTCGGGCCCCAGAGGACAGGGCTCACCAGTTCCCCGCTGGGCTGGGAGGGACTCGGCCCTGTTAGAACACAGGCTCCAGGAAAGTTAAAAACGGGCTAGAAAGTCATGCGTGGAATTAACACGTTATACAGCAATTCCACTTCTGGGCATAAACACACTGAAATGAACTGAGAGCAGGGACTCCAGGAGGCGCTTGCACCCCACATTCACGGCGGCGTCTTTCACGACAGACGAAGACGGAAGCCACCAGAGTGTCATCACCGGACAAACGGGTAACAAAATGTGGTCCATCCACACAGCAAAAGGAAGGAGACTCTGACACGTGCTCCAGCGTGGATGGACCTTGAGGACACTGTGCTAAGGGAAATGATCCCGACACAGAAGGACAAACACCATGCGACCCCACATGTATGGGGTCCCTAGAATGGTCAAATCCAGAGATGGCAAGTAAAAGGGTGGGCACCAGGACTGGGGCACGGGAAGATACAGGGAGGGAGTGTCTCATGGGGACAGAGTCTCAGTTTGGGACGATGAAACAGTTCTGAGACGGAGGGTGGCGATGGTTGCACAACAATGTGAAAGTGCTTAATGCCACTGAGCTGCACTCTTAAAATGGTTAAAATGGCAAATTTTACTTTATGCACATTGTACCAATGGACAGAGTCATCGTGCGCCCAGACAGCTCGCCCTCCCTCCCCTCAACTGAGCCTCTGTGCTGAGGGCTGGGCTTGCGGACTGATGACAGCTTTCTCCAGCCACCACTTGTTGGACAGAGTCCTGTTGTGGACAAAAAGCTCGGGCCATGCATTCAGACATAGGTTAGGCCACATGTAACACCAGTGGCTGAAAAAGACGGAAATTCACGTCTCCCGCTCAGGGGGAAGGCGTGCTGTGCAGGGCTGGCGAGGAGACTCTGCTCCAAGCGGTCACGGGGGACCAGGCTCCGCTCTGGCCACCCTGGGGTGTTTCTCTCACGCATGCAGCTCCAGAGGGCTCCCCACCATGACCCCATCCTCAGCAGCAGGGTTGGGGGAGCATGCATCCTTCCTTCCAGACACTGGCACTGGGACTGTACTGGAAGCGGTGTGGTTGGTACGTGGTCTGTCCCCTGCCTCCCCCAGGGGGATGTCAGCGGCACCCCATCTTGCTGTGGCAGCTGTGGGGGGTGCACTGCTCAATGGCCCTTCCAGAGAGAAGCTGTCACAGGAGGTGCAGTCAGCCGCCGGCTTCCAGCTGCAGCCCTGGCCTGGTCGAGGCCCGGCGGCCTCACGGATCCTCTGTGGGCTGGAGCCTCCCCCTGCTGGCCACGCACCCCCCACCACAGGACGACTGGTGGTCCTCCGACATTTCTTGCATTTCTAGCTTGTCTTCCCTGAAGCCTTGAAGTGACACCTTTGCTCCAGACTGCATCCCCAGGACACAGAAGAGCCAAGCGCACCGCAGGCACTCAGCAAAGTCTCCCAAGTGAAGCAAGAAAATACAGCAGGTGCTCTATGAATGTGTGTTGACCTGAGCAGACAGCAGGGGAGCTGGGAACCAGCCATCCGCCAGTGCCCCTGGGAGCAGACCCTCCGACCCCCGTCACGTTAGTCGGGGGCCCTTTGCCAAAGAAAATAAGAGTGGAAAGTTAGGGCCAGACTGGCTGCAGCCACAGGGGACCCCTTCCTGCCACCTGCGGGGCAGGGTCCCTCAAGCCCACAGATGGCACAGAGGGAAATATCTGCTCCCGGCCACGCAGGCCACCCTGGCGTGGGCACTGGAAAGCCCCGGTCCCGGGAGCCAGCAATAACACGGAGGCTGAGGCTGCCAGGCCAGGTGCCCAGGGACTGGGCCCAGGCAGAGCTTGTCCCCTGCTTCCTGGCCTGGAAGCCAACCCGACGGGATGGGGTTTTGACCGTGACCTTTTTCCTACAGCTGCTCCGTCTGGGGAGATGTTTTCAAGGCTGTTCATGCCCTGACGCCCCCTGCCGCCAGCCAGCATGCAAGGAGAGCAGCCTCCCAACAGCCTGTCTGCAAGAGGACCGCGCAGCCTCCCGCAGAAGCGCACGGGGAGGCTTCTCCAGACTCCTGTCCGTGAGGCCACGGGGCCGGTGGCAAGCTGGGTCCGCGGTGAGGTGCTGCTCCAGCCGTGGACGGGCCATTGGAGATGCTGCACGCGGACAGATGTGGGGGAGACTGGCCTGAGAAGGCAGGAAGGAGGCACCAGCAGGAGCAGGCCTGGGGCAAAGCCACAGATGTTTCTAGATGGTTCCAGAACCACGTGGACCGGCTGGGTGACTCCGTCCTGGAGAAACAATGACCTCGCATGCTGACCCCGGTCTGGGCTGGGAGGCGTGGGGACGAGCAAGTGTGTTGACTGCACTTAACAGGATTGCTCCCATGCACCCGGCATTCACAGCAGCACTGTTCCCAACAGCCCAGGCACGGAAGCCAACCTGGAATCTGTCAGCGGATGACTGGACGAAGACACTGCGGTGCCGCGGGGGCCAGGGGGAGCATGCTCAGGGGTAGAACACACGCTCAGCGTGCACAAGGTCCTGCTACCAAAAAAAGAAAAGAATATGCTAAAAGGTTTAATTAAAGACAGTAGGAAAAATAGGAAAAAAAGAAAAAAGTGGACTACTACTCAGCCACAGAAAAGAATAAAACAATGCCATTTGCGGCACCATGGGTGGAACTGGAGACTGTCACACTAAGAAAGACAAGTACCATATGATGTCACTTATTGTGGAACCTAAAATAAGACACAAATGGACTTATTCACAAAACAGAACAGACTCACAGACGTGGAAAACAAACTTATGGTTACCACGGGGAAAGGAGGAGGGGAGGGATATATTAGGAGTTTGGGACGTGCAGATACACACTACTATGCATAAAATAGGTAAACAACAAGGACCTACTGTGCAGCACAGGGAACTATGTTCAATAGCTTGTAACAGCCGATAATGGAAAAGAATCTGAAGCTGTCAGGTCAGGGAAGTGGAAGGGAGGGTGGGGGGTCCTGGTGGGGAGCTCAGAGCTTGCTCTGGTGGGGCGGGGGCAGAGGAGGGCCCCTGGCTTTCCGTGAAAGGGACAGAGGGGAGTCAACCCAGAGGGAACTGCAGGCGGGTCTGAAGAGCAGGGAATTCCTCACACAGAAACCAGACATGGCAGTGGGAAAGAATGACAAGTCTGCTTCCGTGAGCACGAAAAGCCCCCGAACGCCAAACATGAGACAAAACAAACGCACAAACCCCCGTCAGTGGGGCTGAAAGTGAGATGATCAGCTGAGACAGCGTTTGTGGCCTGTCACCCAGGACAGGTGGCCGGTCAAACCTACTGTGCAGAAGGACAGCGCGAATCAGCAAGGAAAGGCAAACGAGCAGCAGCTTGGAAGCAGACCTCGAGACGGGGCGTGCAGAGGCGCCAGAGCCGTCCGGCCGTCCAGACCGACATCTGCCCAACCGTGCTGCGTCCTCCACGTCAGGTGCCTTTGGGGCTGAGCTCACACAGAGGGGGGCTCCCAGAGGTGCCACATGGGCAGCTCTCTGTCCTGGGGAGAGGCCCAGGACTTGGGGGTCAGAGATGCCAGAAGGATGTTCCACAATGTTTGAATTTTTGTACAAGGAAAATATTTATGAAGCCCTTTTATAATCTCACACACACACACATCGCTTTTCAAGTGGGGGCTTTGGAGTCGATAGACCTGAGTTTGAACCCGATTCCATCACTGACCAGCTTGTGCACGCCCCGTACAAGCCTCAGTCTTCTCACCTGGTAAAGAGGTAGAGTCACACCTGCACTTGTGCCCACCCGGCTTACACAGCACCTGAGTTTTCTCTGGGAAGCCACCACACCTGTGTCATTGATCCATTCTGTCTGGGGGGACAGACCTGCCCCCCTTCAGGTCTGAGCACATGACTGGGGGTCTAGCTGAGCAGGTAACACCCCCAGTTACTGCAGTGATTGGTTCAAGAAAGGACATGTGGCCAGTTTGGGCCCAGAAGTCCCACGTGTGTGACTTTTGCTGGAACAGCAGGGGCAGCCCCCTTTCCAAGGGACGGAGGGGAGCTGGGAGGGCGGAGGGGGCACCCCCCGGAAAGGCTGAGCACGCGGGAAGCTGAGCCAAGGCATGGGGCGGGGGGACAGCCAGCGACACCGCCATGGCCCTCGGCCAGCCGCCTGCCTTCCTGTGACCTGGTCCCTGCCGGTGTCTCCTTGGCCCTCTCGGACAGATGTCACCACAGAACTTGCTGGGGGGAACTGCACGTGTGTGTGGCAGGCGGGATGGCCAGAGCCAGTGCCCCAGAGTGACTCTCAGCCAGTGAGGGCAGGGGAGCTCGCTGCCCGGCTCCCCAGGAGGCAGGGTTCGCCCGAGATGGAGCGCCCCCAGTGGCACCTGCTCATTAAAGCACCTGCATCTGTGTTCCCTGCCAAACCACACAGCGCTCTCTGGGGCCACCCCCAAATATGCGACTTTGCAAGGAGCACAGACTGAGACACTGAAGCAACAAGCCCCTCCCCTTCTCCCTCCCCTTCCTCTCCTCCCATCAATCTCTCATTAAGACTGTTTGAGTTGATTTTCATTTGCAACCAAAAGAACTCCATCAACGCTCTGACTGCAGTGTTGACAACCAGCTTATGGAACTAGGGTAGAGAGGCCTCACGTGTGTGAACTGTGACCTCGCCCTGGGAACTAGCATGTGGGCCTCCCTGCTGCTGCCCTGGCCCTGTGACACAAACCTGCTGCCTCCCGGGTGGGGGCTGGGGGTGGGTTTGCGCTGCCTGGCTTCACCTGTGTGTCCATCCGCCACCCTGCTCCAGCCACGGCACCACAAGTACCGCGGCGACGGTCACTCTCACCTTTCACCCTTTTCAAAGCTGACCCAAACGCTGGGGAGCACCCAGCCCTTCCCATCCAAAGTTCCACACGGATCGTCGTAACACGGCTCATCGAGACCCAACCGTGTGCCGAGCCCGCCGGTACTTCCTTCTACGTCTGCCCCACGAGGCTACTCCCTCCGCTGGCGCCATCACCACTGACGCTCCACAAGCGCAAACGTGCACGAACCCTCATTACACGGGAAAAGTGAGCCCACGGTGCGACTGCAGCCCAGACAAGAAACGGAACGTCACTGACTGCCTCTTCCACGGGGGACAGCTGTCCGGACCTCCCACCCCCAGATCAGTTTTGCCTGGTTTTGAACTTTACGTTCAGAATGAAGTCATACAGGCGATAATCTCCCGTGTCTGCCTTCTTTACTCGGGCACGATTCCTGCAAGAGGCAGCTGCTTCCATGAGCACTGCGGAGGTTCGGCTGCCTCGCTGTGTCGCACCCACTGGCTGGACACACACGTGTATCCATTTCACCTCGCACGGACCTTCGGCTGTTTCCACCGTTTTCCCGGCAGTTGTGAACAGTGCTGTCGGGGCACTTTGATTCTTTGTTACTGTAATTAGGTGGAGACTGCAGGGCCCACAGAGGGAGAGACGGGACTAAGCGTTCCCTTTCTCCCTTTTCTGTGCAGAACCAGGAGCTCCGCAGGTGCTGCTTGTCCCCCCTCTGGCCCTGCCCCAGAAGGTGCAATTCTCCAATTGTCTTCAGCAGGCCTGGGCCCCAAAGCTGGTGTAGTTTTCCCAGTGATGTAAAGGGTCACCTGCTCCTTGTAGCAGTTCTCTGTGAGCAGGACCAGGTGGCCCTGTTGAAGGAGGGGCTGGGAAGAGAGAATCCTGTTGTTTGACTTCAGACCAAAACTGTAGACCTGTAGTGACATCTATGTTAGTTAGGAATTGAATCTAGGTACAGGTAGCAGAGACCTGGAAAATAGTGGCTTAGATGAAACAGAGGTTTTCTCCTGCCACAAGTCAAAGAAGTCCGGGACTCCCAGGGCAGGTACCGTAGTTCTAGAGTGCCATCAGGAACCCACAGTCTGCTCTCTCTCTGCCATATGTAGAGTTTTGATCCATCCTCAAGGTCACAAAATGGCCACTGGAGTGCCAGCCATCATGCATGTGTTCCAGGCAGGAAGGAAAAAGAAGAGGATAAAAGGGGCTTTTGGAGCATTACTGGAAGGCCTGCCCGACAACTTCTGCCTATATCTCATTAGCCATCCTATCCGCTGGAGGAGCAGGAAACGTAGTCTTTCACATGCTTACCTGGTCACGGTGAGACAAGAGGAGGCCAGATATTGACAGGCCATGAGCAGGCTCTTGCTCAACATTCAGGCCCAGTTTTCTTCTGCCTTGTTTGGGATTCTGAAAGACAAGGAACTCTCCAACACTAGCAACTCCCAGAAGCAAGTGAGTTTGATTTCTGAAACAAAATGCTTTAAACAGGCTTCACTGATGTTACTGGTTCTCCACCGTCATTAGCACCAAGCAGCACACACTTGGGAAGGGCACGGGCCTCTCCCCCAAAACCACAGGTAAACCCACAGTCTGTTAACTGCAGGTGCTTTTTCTGAGATGAGATAGGAAAGGTTCTGTTACGCAGTAGTGTCAGGTGGGCTCAGGTTCTGTGGGGGCAGATTCATGCCTGCGTCTCAGGTGATTCTGGAAGCCGCCACCCAGACAAATACTTGAGTGTGAGTGGTTTATTCAGGAGAATAAAATCAGAAACTGCAGGAGGCTCGGAGCAGAAATTCCAGCTCAGGAGGTGCTGAGGGGGGCCTGGGCGTCCAGACCCTGCCCTGATGGTCATCAGCTGAGGCCCTACGGCTCTGCCCCAGGTGCCCAGCGAGGGTGCGGAGTGAGCCCTGCAGGGAAGCACACGCGGAGGCCATGGGGCGGGGTGCACAGTCCTGATGGCAGGGCCCCCGTGGGTGGGGTGAGCATTGCAGCGTCCACTGAACACGTGCCTCGCTGTGCCCTCCGCACCCGGGAGGCCCGGTGGGGAGACTGAGGCCCGAGGAAGGAACGGGAGCTGTTCAAGTGTTCCTGACCCAGACGACTTCTGCCGAAGCGTGTGTTCCTCCCTTGCTCAGTCAACAACCCCACAGGCACCTGCTGGATGCCTACTGTACATGCAGCCCGAGTCCCGCCCTGCAGGGGTGCCTGCCCCAGTGCCCCTCCCAGGATGAGCCTCAGACCCTTCTGGCCCTTGTCCTGGTGACGTCGCCAGGAAGCAGACACGCAGCTGTGATCATCCTGTCCGGGTGTGTGAACCCCGGCCCCCTGGAGAGCCAGCCCGCTGAGGGGCCCAGGAAAGGCTGGGCTGGAGGGGTCTGCGGGCTGACCCCACACTAACCAGGCGGGACCAGCTTCTCCCTAGAGTGAAGGGGCCGACATCATGGACGCGCCTGCTGTTCCAGAAGGCACCACTGGGAGGGCCTGGGGTCTCGTGGGCCCCGTTGCAGCAGATGTGGAGGCTGAAGTCCACCGGCTCGCCCACAGGCACACAGAGCTGGAGCCCCCACAAATCCCAGCTTTCCTGGATTCTACCACTTACTGGCTGTGTGACCTTGAGCAAGTTAATGAACCACTCTGGCCTCCATTTCCTTACCCGTAAAATGAGAGGAGGCATCACAGAAGGGCCGGGAGGATTCAGTGAGCTACTGAAATGGTACTGGCACACAGCAGACACCCCACAGGGAGGGTGCTGGTTCAAGTTAGGAGGGGGTGTCGGGATGGGAGGCCCCTCCTTCCTGAACGTGGGAAAGGCCCATCGAAACTTCCTCAATCTGGGTCCCGTCCCGCCTCCCACACGAGCTGGAGCCAGACAGTTGGGCTCCAGAGCCCACGTTAACACAGCTCTCCTGCCGAAGGGCTGTGCCGGGGACCGCCCTCCCGTGGAGCCTGCGCCCAGGAGCTCCCGCGGCCACTGTCTGGGTGGGAACAGCACTTTGAAGGCCCCTCCCGGACCCTGCCTCCCAAGACTCTGTAGTCGCAGGCAGCCTGGCGAGCATGACTCCTTCAGGAAGGGCGAAGGGTTTCAAAAAATGTGGACACAACACTCCCGGGCCCCTGAGATCCTCCAAGAGCCCCCATCCTCTTCCCATCATGGTATCCCTCACCAAGGGTCTTTTAGTCCCTACTTGCATACATCTGGGGACAGGGGGCTCACCACCTCTCAAGGTCACTCCTCTAATCATTTGAAAGCTGGTCTCTATCCTCAGCCATCTGCCTCTCTATGGGCCTGGCTTTGCCTCTAGGACGCAGTGAATACCCCACTGGCATGAGAGCAGAGTCCCAGGCCAGATGAGCGCTGAGCGGTCACTGCCCGTCCTCAGCAGTTTCTAGACTGTGGGGCTGCAGGCAGACCAGGCCCAGCAGCCCCCCACCTCTCCCTCCTCCTCCGCCCCCGACACACATGTCCTCTGCCCCTGGATGTACTGGCAGCCTCCAAGCCTTATGTGTCACATGAACACAGTTACATAAATGTTACGTGCACATGATTTTAAGGATCATAAGTGGTGAGACTTCAAGGTGAAAAGATTCTTTGTCTTTTTTTTGGAGAAGCTAGTGGAGCGTGGTGCAGTTTTATGAAGAAGAGTGGCAGGCGGGGGTGGTTCTGTTTCACAAAGCTGCCTTCCCTGGCCTCTCGGCTCAGCTGGGCTACCAGATTAATCAGCTGCAAGTCTGTGAGCTCCCTCTCAGCTCTGGGTTTGGCGCTCACATTGCAAGCACGAGCCACACTGCTGGTGCCAGAGAGCATGCTGGTTGCAGGACCGGGTGCACCCCCCTCGCGGGGGTCCTCCAGAAACAGGTACTGGGGGGACAGAGACGACTGCGGCGAGGGGGAGCAGACCACAGGCACCATCACAGAGCCCTGGAGGAGGCTGCCCAGACCTGGCCCCTCACGGTGGGGCATTTGTTCTAGTTTTGGGAAAAGGCTTCCCAGAGAAGAGAACCTGCTTTGCTTTCACTTTGTACTGTGCAAAGGACACACATTTCAGGCACACAGCTTCTGAGCCTGTACCCACGTGCACACGCGCACAACCACGCCCTGACCGTGTTGCAGACAGCTTCCAACCCCAGAGGCGCCCTGTGCCCCTCCCCCACAGGACCACTCCTCCCTGCCCCCTCCCCTCCCTCCACGGGTACTGACTGCTTCTTTCTGAGCCTCACAAAGACCAAGCCTGGGCCTGGCTTCTCCCCCGCAGCTCTGTGTGTGAGGCCTGCGGCCGCCGCATGCAGTGCCGAGAGGGGCTTTCTCGCTGCGTGTAACGTCCGCACGGCGCTGGCTACCTTCTCCTGCTGGCGGGTATTTGGGCTGTTCTAATTTTCACCTCCTATGAATAAAACTGCTATGAGAAAGTGACGTGTTTCAGCTGAGTAGACGCTCCCATGCTACGTGGAGGCCGAGGACGTTCCAGGAGGGACTGACACGTGCAGGGGCCTCTGGCAGGAGGCAGCCGCCGGGCAGGTCTGCAGGCCAGTGTGGCGGGAGCGGGTTCCTAGGGGATGTTGACAGTAGCCCTGCTGCACCAGCACGGTGCTGCCCTCCCCACCCGTTCCATCTCCTGGTGGTGCCCCCGGGCCTAGAGGGCGTGTGGCAGGCGCCCCGGGCGCACGTTCGGGTCCGTGGGGTAAACATGCTACGTGAGATGACGGAGGCGGAGGGCGGGGGGCATCGCCTTGCTGTTCTGGGCTGTGTTCTGCCATCGGACAGGACCACAGGCACGCAGGGCTTTCTGCACCGGTGCCCCAGTGTCTGATCTCGGGCTGCTGAGCTGCGGGGCAGAGCCCTGGGAGGTGCGTGTCACTGGTACTGCCCGCCGGGGCCTCTGCAGCCTCCCAGTGATCTTCTGAGTACTCATTGCTGCACCAGACCCCGCGTGCTTCAGACGCCTGGAGGTACCACCTCCCACCCACAAGGATAGCCATGGTGGAAAAAAACCGAAAATAACAAGTGTTGGTGAGGATGTGGAGAAACCGAAACCCTTGGGCACCGTTGGTGGGAATGTAAATAGAGCTGCCTCTGTGGAAGCAATGTGGTGGTTCCTCAAAATGAAGCACAATTACCACATCATCTGGCGATCCCGCTTCTGGGTATTTACCCCAAAGAACTGAAATCAGGGTCTCAGACAGATTTGCACTCCCACGTTCACAGCAGCGTTCATCACAACAGCCAAAGGCGGAAGCGACCCACGTGTCCATTCCCAGGTGAACAAAACATGGTCTGTACATACACTGCAGGATCATTCAGCCTTGGAAAGAGGAGATTCTGACACGGTCTACAATGTGCATGAACCTTAAAGGCATCATGCCAAGTGAGACAAGCCAGTCGCAAAAGACAGATTCTGCGTCATGCCCCTTGCGGAAGACACCTCGTCCTGAGAGCCAAACAGACGGGAGTTAGAGTGTGGCGCCCCGGGGCGGGGGAGGGGCTGGGGGTCAGCGTTCCATGGGGACAGGGACTCAGTTCTGGAGATGACGGGGGGGGGGGAGGCACAGCAGTGTGAATATGCTTAATGCCCCGGCACTGCACACTTAAAAATGGTCAATATGGGAAATTTTATGTTCTGTGTATTTTCACAATAAAACAACTAAAACAAGCCAGAAACAGAAACAGGAGCAGGTCTCTGTGCTGTAAGCCTGGCCTGGGGCAGGGCCTCGCTTCCCGT